GCCAGCTGCTCCCTTATGGGGGTGCTTTTGCATGTTTGCCATCTCGGGTCTCTGCCTTGACGCCCAGGGGAACACAGTCTGTTTTCTTTGTGGATCTGAAGGGGGCCGGGGAATAGGAGTTAGGTTTCTTTTTCTTTCTTTTTTTTTGAGGCAGAGTCTCACTCTGTCGCCCAGGCTGGAGTGCAGTGTGCGATCTCGGCTCACTGCAGCCTCTGCCTCCTGTGTTCAAAGGATTCTTCTGCCTCAGCCTCCTGAGTAGCTGGGATTACAGGTGCCCACCACTACACCCAGCAGAGACAGGGTTTCACCATGTTGGCCAGGCTGGTCTTGAACTCATGACCTCAGGTGATCCACCCACCTGCGCCTCCCAAAGTGCTGGGATTACAGGTGTGAGCCACCGCGCCCGGCCAGGAGTTAGGTTTCACATCATGGTTCTTAAGTAAGAAGATGGAATCCCCCCAGTAAGTAGCCACCACCGTCCCACAGCCTCCCCCGCCTGCCCCAGCTGCGCTGACATCTGTGTGTGTTCATTCTGCTTTTGAAGAAACTCAGGAGTGGCTGGAGGAGACAGACTCGGAAGAGGACAGTGAGGAGGTTGAAGGTGCTGAGGGTGGAGACGAGGATGAGGACGAAGACAGCGGAGAGGAGAGCGGTGCGGAGGACTGAGGTGAGCGGGCTGGAGCTCACGGGTGGTGTGGCTGCTGGGTGTTGGTGAAAGGCTTTTCATGTTTATTGGATTTTCATTAGAATTCAGCTTTGTTCTGTAGATGCCTTGAGGCAAGTTTAAAATCTTAAAAACGGTATGTGGAGTAATTTCGGCAGCTTGCTGATGAGTGCGGCGTGCCTGTGGGCTCTTTGATGAGGTCTTCCCTGAAAACCCGGTGTTCTCTCTACCCTCCCTGCACAGGCATCCCCCTCGGCTGAATGTGTTGGTCTCTCATTCCTTCCTCCTTGCGTATCAGAAGAGCCCCCTCCAGGGGCGCCTGGCAAGTGCTGTGCCCACGTCCGCCCAGGACCCAGCCGTGTTGGGTGAAGCTCTCAGGGCCAGCCTGTGCCGTGACACACAGGAGAGAGCTGAAGGTGGGTGGCCCAGGCCAGGGCGTGAACTTTCTCCCATGATTTAGTCTTTGATGCGGCGCTGGGCCAGAAGTTCAACTGAGTGCAGTGCGGGTGGATTCCCTCAGCAGCCTGTGTGTTGTGTAAAATAAATTGGACTTCAAACAAGACCACTGTGAGGTTTTCTTCTGTGCGGCCCGAGGCACACCCAGTCTTCCTGGGGCCTCTGCCAGTCTTCCCGGGCCAGGGCTGGCCTAGGGCAAGACTGCCCCACACTGGAGGGTGGAACTTTGGACACGAAGGACCCTCAAGAAGCAGGTTTCTGCGCCCGAAACCCCGGAATATGCTGTGCTTTGTGAGCCTTTCCTTCTACAGACCCAGAAGAGGGCACTGAGTTCCCATCCATCTTCACACTCGGGATCAGCCTCTGACGACTGGAAACTGAAAAGCAGGCCAGGGCCAGTGCACGCCTTCCCTGTTCTCGTTCATGTATGGCACCGCTGGTCGACTCCACACGGGGATCTCCTGGGGGGTCCCTCGTGTGCAGCGGCCTCACTCCTGGGAGCCCCCGTGCCCCCGCATGGTCTCTGTTGAGGCCCTGGTGGTCCCTGTCGGGTTTAGGGTTTAGGATTAGCATTTGCAAAGCGACAGGATGGGAGGCCGGAGGGCAAGGGCTCCCAGCGTCCCCATATGGCTGCCACCGGGTATCTCCGACCAGCTCCTCCTGTCTCCCGCGCTGCAGCGCCCTTGCCCCCGAAGGCTGTGGTGCACTAACCCCACCCGAGGCCCGCTCCAGTCCAAGACTGAAGGCTGGTTCAGATTTGCCAAATTGGGGTCAAAAGTTGAGCACTGAAACCACACCCGGTGCAGTTTTGTGGGTGTCTTAAATATTTTGAACAGTGGGAATATAGGATCCTTAGCTTTCTGTAATGGGCCGACATAACTGTGGTCCCTTGTCTTATCTGGGAGTTCAAAACAAGGGTGGTGGGGAGACGCCCCTCCTGGCGGAACCAGTGTTGAGCGGAGAGGACTAGAAGCTGACTTGGCAGCGAGCAGCTGTGAGCGCCTCCCTGCTGCCTTGGCCGATTCGTCCTCATGGCTCCAGATGGGCCCAGGAGTACCCGGGTCACCATGGGGCAGTGGCTTCAGAAGCGTCATCTCTCAGGATCACCTCAGGGGCACTTGGCCAGCTCTTCCCCAGCAGGGGCACGTGCTGAGCTCCCTGGTGCAGCCAGGTGTTCAGGAGGCCTCGGCGGGTGGGTGGCACTTGAACTGGCCCCGAGGGCCCTGCCCGCTGCCATGGGTGTGACCTCACTTCAGGCTTCTGTGGTCACTTGACCGAAAAGCTGATCAGAAAGGGGAAGGCTCTTAGCACTGCCCGTTCCCTGGTGGGGACACCTGTCTGGTGCATCCGGATGTGTGGGTGGCACTGCCGACGGGTGAGGCTGCAGACGTAGCCCCCCTGGAGGGCTGCAGCTCGTGTTTGCGTTGTGCTGGCCCCCCTGCCAACCCCCGAGGGCTGCAGCTCATGTTGGCGGTGTCGGGCTTTGGCGGCTGGTTTGGGCACTTTGTCTCGAGTGCGGGGCAGGCAGGGCTCTTTCCTCACGCTCTCGGCTGAGCTGGTTGGGAGAGGCTCGGGCAGGGCTGAGAAGCCGGAGCGCAGGCAGCAGCGTCCCCGCCCCCACAGGCTCTGCGGCTCTGGCCCTTGTCCAGAAGATGGACCCCGTTGTGTGGCCGGTTCGTTCTTCCCTCCTGCTCTTGGAGGAAGGAATGGAAAGATCTTGTTGGCTTCAATGCAGTTGTCTGTTATCAGAGATTTTCTTTCAGAGGAGCTTGTAACTAATTAAATGGGATTCCCAGGAAAAAGGTACTTTTGAATCAACCAAGTTGAAAGAAGGATGACAGCAGCCCTGAGGAGGAAACTTCTTGTACACTTTCTTATACAGAAAGCATTTTGCTTTTGTTGCTAAAGATTTGATTTGAATGAAAGATGCTGATCAGAACCAATGGGGGTCAGACAGACAAGCTCCCAGCATGGAGTGGCTGCCACGGCCGTGATGAAAACAGCAGCGCCCCTTCAGTGTGGAACCGCGGGAGACGCAGAACGCAACGCAGGGTGGTGGATTCCTGTGCAGAGCTCTGCCTGCCCCACGGGCCTGGGTTCTGCTTGTCTGCTAGAGCCCAGTTTATTGAACCACTTGGTGGCCAGGCAGCCGCCACAGGGCGTGAGCAGCCGGCATGAAAGCCCAGGGCCTCTGTCTCCCGGGAGCGGCTGGCACGGCGCGGCTGGGACACGCCATACTCGGTGCCACATTCACCTCCAGTTCCTCGGTGTGGTGAGCTGCTGGCTGTTAGGAAGGCTTTCCCTCGGCTCCGGCCCTCCCACACAGCCCCCGGACCCCGGACTGCAGGGTGGGCGGGCATGTCAGGTGAGGCGCTCTGGCCGGCCCACTTGGCAGCAGGGCCACGGCTCCTCGCGGGGCTTTGTGGGATTTCGAACGATGAATCACCTTGTTCCCCATTCTCCCCCTGCTGCCCATGCACGTCATGCTCTGTGTGAGGATGAACTGGAGGGACTGGCCGTGCGCGGTGGCTTTTTTCGTGGTTGGGGCGGGGGGGTGTTGGGTGGAATGAACATCAAGGGAACTACCCATTGAGCTTAGAAATCCTTGCCAGGCAGTTAGTTTGTGTTTGTTTTTAGACGAGAGTAGTGTTGACTGCAATTTGACATCTGATTTTTTTTTTAATTGAGTTGGTATAAGCAGGATGTCATTGGCTAGGTGACAGTTACAGAGTCACTGAGGGACCAAATGCCAAGATGCCTGTTGGTGAGAGAGACCCTCTCCAGAGTTTTCCAGAGGGGCCTCCTTCCGCGTGACGTTCAGGACCCTCTCCGGGGCTTTCCAGAGGCGCCTCCTTCCACATGACGTTCAGGTAACGAGGTGGGACCCCGCGCTGGACGTGGCGCTCGGGTGTTGGCGAGGAGGTGGCGCCGTGTGCTTGATGGCTTCCGTCAGAGAAGAGTCTGCTGTCCTCCAGAAGGAGCAGGGGTTGGTGGTTCCCAGCGCAAAGGGAAAAGGGGCCGAGCTCTAGCTGTGATCACGACGTCAGCCTGCCTGCCTTTGTGCGTGGAAGGAACTTGCTAGTGACCGCTGCTCTCCTGGGCAGTGTAAGAGTATTGTGTGGAGGCCCGTCTCGTTTTCATAACCCAGATGGCTCCCAGCGCAGGTTGTGGTCACCTCCATTTCTCTCTCACGAGAGAGCTGCAGCAATGCCATCCGGGGCCTGGCCACGCCTGGTCACTGGGGTCCTGAACAGTGGTGTCCCGAGGCACACAAGCAGTCCCTGCTGGACGCTGACGCACTGTCAGGGCCAAGGGCCACAGTGCAGGTACCACAGTGACCCGCTTCCCTGAGTTCTGCTCATGCCCCTCATTTTCCTTGTCTCAACCTTCAGAGCCCTTCCAAGCCCCCACTGGCTGCAGCCCACCCAGGGACCCAGCTGTAGAGGCTGGACTCGGGCATCTCTGAGGTGTGAGAGGCGCGGGTTTACAAAACTCTGGCTGGGAAGAAAGAGATTGAGTAACCACTCCCTGAGAAGCAGAAACGGGGACATTTAATTACATGAACGCGCGCATTTAAAAACCGCCTGTGCTCTCCTGGAGGGCAGAGCCTGCCTCTCTGGTGATTTTTGTGTCCCGCATTCACTTACAGGCTGTGACAAACCCCGTGCCAACACTGCCTGCACTGCCGGGAGACTCAGGGCTGGGGGAGTCATGCCCCGGCCACCACTGGTGAGCCAGCGAGACTGAGGACCCCGCACGTGCTGACCCAGGGACGCCGCGGAACTCACTCGAGACTGAGGACCCCGCGCGTGCTGACCCGGGGACGCCACGGAACTCACTCGAGACTGAGGACCCCGCACGTGCTGACCCAGGGACGCCGCGGAACTCACTCGAGACTGAGGACCCCGCGCGTGCTGACCCGGGGACGCCACGGAACTCACTCGAGACTGAGGACCCCGCGCGTGCTGACCCGGGGACGCCACGGAACTCACTCGAGACTGAGGACCCCGCGTGTGCTGACCCGGGGACGCCACGGAACTCACTCGAGATTCCTGCTCACAGCACGTTTCCTGCTCGGAAGCCAGGAGAGCCTCCACGTGCCACCCAGCTCTGTCCACGTGTCCATCACGCAGCTCTGCAGCAGAAGGAACTTCAGTAAAGACGCTGGTTTGTAATGAGACGAGACAAGCGTTCCAAAGTGTCACACGACATTGTGTATTACTAAAAGGAGCAGAATTTCTCTTTAATCTCGACAGTGTTCCTTGCTTTCGTAACAGTAGGATTTAAACTGTTACATTCATTTAGGAAAAGTATTTGATTTTCATTTTGTAAGTAACCCAGCTATCTTTCCAGCTTAAAAGCAAAGAAAAAAGGCTCAGGGTAACTTTTTAAACCACTTCGTCAATAAGAGAAGTTCTGTTTTTGTCACTGCACGGAGTGATTGTACACAGTGTTAGCAGACAGTTCACACGCGCCGGTCCGGCTTGGAAGGAAACGCAGGTTAACACCGTTTTCTGTCCGAGTTCACAGAGGTGTTTGCAGCAGGCTCAGTTGCTTCCGCAGCAGGCTCAGTTGCTTCCGCAGCTGGAACGAGGGGGCCTCTCTTTCCCGCGTGGCTCCCCTGAGCCGGGAGGCCCCTGAGGGTTTTATCTCCACTGGGCTCTGGGGACGGGGTTTCTGTGGAAATGGCAGATGGTGCACATGAGCAGAGTCCTGCTAGAGAGGTCAGCTCAGCGTCCAGGAGGGGCTGCCAGCGGCAGAGTGCCTGCGCCCGAGGCAGCCACGGACGTGCCTGGGAAGGTGCTGCCCGAGAAGTCTGCTCTGATGTGGCTGCACTTGGGCATGCGGGCTCCCCAGAGGCCCATGTGAGAAAGCCGGGGGTTCCCAGGCTGTGGGTGCAGGACGGGCCAGGCACCACCCTGCAGGGCCCACCCCCCTGCCCCTGCCCCCGCACCCTCACACCCATCTTCCTCTCAGCCTGACCCCAGGGCCTGGGAGTCCCGGCAGACAGGCCCTCCTTGCCCAGCAGTGGCCGCCCTTTATGGATGGGGCGCCTGGCAGAGCCGCTGTGGAGGAGGAGTTGGTTGTCATGGTCGGGGGAGGCAGCCCTTGGGCTGGGTGCTGTTGGTGGTCAAGGTTGAACCCATATCCGGTGGAATCTCCTGGTCTGTTCCACACACGATCGTGCGGGAAGCTCTGGGACCCGAAAGCTGTTATGATCTCGAGTCACAAGTTCTCACAGCAGCCTGGGGTCACCAGGGACTAGACCCAGCATTAGGCTTTTTAGGAGCTGCTTGGCTGCTGGGCTGAGCTTCATTGCAGGCCCAGGAAGATGACCAAGAAGGGCAGAGCAGAGCCCCGTCAGCCACTCCTTGGGCTGGAAGTGACTTCCTCAGTATGGATGGCAGCTGTTAACAAGCAGTGGTGGTTTGGCCGGAGGCCTCTGTGGGGCACAGACATGGCGTGAAGGATGGCAGATGGGCGTGCACGCTCGGGAGGACAGACGGGTGGCATAGGCCTGAGCAGGTGGCGTCGGCGCACGAGAAGGGTGTGTCTGAGACAGGATGTTTATCCCAAAGGCCAGGAGTGGACGAGGCGGACGAGTGGCCGTGAGGTAGGCGCGTGAGGTTGGCGCGTGAGGTTGGCTGGTCTGCTCCGCCACCCCAGAAACCCAGCGGCCTGGGCCTAGCACCCAGACACACATGGAGTGAGCTCATGCCCACGCCGTGACCTGTCCCTGTCACGGGGCCGCTTGCTTCTCCCAGGCTTGGGAACAAGCCGGCACAGAATGCTGTGGCTGCATTCACTGCTCAGGCACTTCTGCTGGGGGTTCATGAAGAAACAGACTTAGAAAGCGTTTATTTGTTCCTGACGGGTGGGCCGAAGTTTGGGAGGAGCATTCAGCTTCTTTGCAGAGCTCGGCCTCGCCTGTCCTGAGCGCCCTGCAACCCTGCTGCTAGCCTGGGGTGCTGAGGGCCTCAGCTCTGGGGGCGCTGACCGCCCCTCTGCAGCCGGCGCCAGGTGCTGGTCCCCGCCTCTTCTCATCGGGAGGCGCTGGCCTGCAGGGCCTTCGTGGTTTGCTGGAGACCCTTGTTCCGTCCCTTCCCAGCACCCACCCCCAGCCCGCTGTGCGTTCTGTAGTTCAATTTTCCAGGCAGGGGACGTGTGGTGAAAATACAGCCTGGCTTTGTTTCTTTTCAGCGATGGCAGCCGCACTTTTCCTTGCTTGTTTTGAAGGCCAAGCCGGCGGCCTCCTCGGCAGCTGGGGACAGTTGCTTCCTCAGCTTCTGTGTGCCGAGTGCCTCACCTGACACACAGCCTGGGCATGAGAGAAGCCAACCAGGTGCCTGAGCTGACTGACTCCCTCCTCCCTCCAACCTCCAGTCTCCTCTCTTCCTCCATCCTCCTCCCTCCAGTCTCCTCCATCCGCCCTCCTCCCTCTGCCTTAACTGGAATCGGGGTCCTGGTCCTGGGCTAGAGGCAGACCCTGGCCCGGGAGAGGTTCTCGAGGCACCGCGGGAGGGCAGCGTCATGATGTCCTGAAGCTTGCCGCGCCCGGTGCTGTCAGCCGGCTGAAGGGAGAAACTGTCACAGCACCCGCAGCTATGGAAGGTGACGTCCGAAAATCTGTTAGGCACCTTGATGTCAGGTTTCCAAGAACAAAGGCAAGAATAGTCGGACCAAACTTAGGAACGAGTCAGAGAAACTGAGCGTGACCTAGAAGAGGCAGATGGCCCTTTCCCTCCTCTCCTGCTGATTGTTCTGTCGCACACACGACGTGAAATCCACACTGCCCTGTGAAGACTGAGGGCAGGTCTTGGATGTGCCGCCCTCACATGGCCCAGGAGCGCCAGCAGCTTGGGGGCCACCACAGGCCCCAGGGCCTCTTTACTCTCATGGGTTCAGCGGACGATAAAACTTCCCGGGGAAGGAGTAAAGGACGATCAAAAACCTAAACTGAAAAAGTATGAAAAACATTTCATTTCCCTCGGGTTCTCCCCACTAGGTCTGCAGTGCCTTGGGGGTGACTGATGGCCCTCAGTGAGACCGGGTGGCCGTGTGGTTCTGAAAGTGAAAAGGAGCAAGTGTGGTTAGAGCCAGGGGCGTGGTTAGAGCCAGGGGCGTGGTTAGAGCCAGGGGCGTGGTTAGAGCCTGGAGTGTGGACACCCCGTGGACTGCTGGCCCATGGCCTGGCTTGGGACCTCGCAGGGGAGCGAGTTGAGTGCATGTGGGGAGGGCCTGTCATTCTACGATGTGTATCTTTCTGTTTTTTTGTTTTTGAGACGGACTTGCTGTGTCGCCCAGGTTGGCGTGCAGTGGCACGATCCTGGCTCACTGCAACCTCCGCCTCCCAGGTTCAAGCGATTCTCTTGCCTCAGCCTCCCAAGTAGCTGGGACTACAGGCACTTGCTACCACGCCTGGCAAATTTTTGTATTTGTTTTAGTAGAGATGGGGTTTCACCATGTTGATTAGGCTAGTCTCAATCTCCTGACCTTGTGATCCACCCGCCTCAGCCTCCCAAAGTGCTGGGATTACAAGCGTGAGCCACTGTGCCTGGCCCTGCCCAGCTTTTCTGCATCACCACCGTCGTGTCAGTTAGCTCGGCTCAGGCATTGCACACCTAATCTGTATCTTTGGGAATCCTGTGAGCTAATGCTTCTAGATCCAAAAGAATGGATAAAGAGAATGTTTCAAGTTCCCGAAATTATTCAGGCACATCCTGTGCGCTACTGAACTTCAGAAAGCACCAGTCCGCCCAGTGTGCAGAGTTTGGTAAACGGGCCAGTCGTGGGCACACACAGGCTCCCTATGGTAAACGGGCCAGCCATGGGCACACACAGGCTCCCCAGAGACCTCGGGGCAGAGGGTCTCTTCCAGCTCTTCCAGGACAGGGCTAATCTGTTCCTGGGCCAGGGGTGGATCTGTTTTGCAGGTTTGCAAGAGTGGGGAGACGCCAGCCTGGCCCATGGGCTGTCCATGCCCACCCCCCACAGACCATGCTGCCATCCGGAGGGGATGCCACTTTCTCCTGGCCTCTGGGATGCACAGGTAAAGCATGGAAGAAGCTGTTGGGGAGGAAAATGGCTCTCACCAGGCTGCTCTCGGGCTAATGAAAACTCATCCAATTCTCCATGCAGCAGCAGCCAGCCTGGCACACGCTGCCCTGCCCTGCCCGACTGTGGAGGTGAACGGGTCCCCCCGGGCCTGGGTGGAAGGACTGCGCGCCTGTCAGGGAAGGCCGAGGCTCTGGACAGGTGGGAAGCAGCCTTCTCCTTAATCACCCCATGTGGAAACCAATTAAAGGTTTGAGTCTCTCAAACCCGGGGCATTTTAGCCTTGGTTGAATCCTCCTGGAATTCCCAGGGAAGTGGCTTTGCCCTCTGCCCTTGCTGCTGGAAGGCAAGGGGCCGGCCCCGGCTTGGTTTTCTAGGTTGTGTTATGGCAGCAGCTGACGGCCCCTAGGCCTGGATCCACACAGCTTCGCTCAGGGACACCTGCCTCCGTGCTTGTCTCATGGTGTGAACGTGTCTCCTGCTCACAGGTACCATTCTGTGTCATGCAGTTACTGGAATGGACAAAAGCAGCTGTGATGTTTGCAAAGAGTTGCAGACAATTACAAAACCCATCTCCCGGCATGCGTGATGGTGAGAGCTGCAAAGAGCAGGAGTCTTTATTTGGTTCACTTCCGGTCTGCAGCAACCACTTGATATCAAAAAACGGAAAAGATGTACAAAAAGATGTCACATCCCTTTAGAAAGCGACATCATCAGAAACGTATGTGACCTTCAGTCCTCCCTCCCTCTCCTGTGCCCCCCCAGACCAGGCTGCGAGAAGGAACGGGGAGTGAACATATAACAACGGAAAACAAAACTGAATTTAACTGGAACATGCTCTAATCTTTAGTTTATTTCTGGTTAAAAATATAGCAATCCAGTGCAGTGTAGTAAAGAAGTCTGCTCGAAAGGTAGCAGAGAAACAGCTAAACATAAGCAAAGCAAGGCAGAGTCCATAAGACAGGCTGGCCCCAAGGCGACCGGATGGGGAATCCCTGCAGTGCCTCCCCGGGCACAGGAGTCCTGCATGTGGCCGTGCCCGGACCCCTCAGGCACGTCCATGCACACGAGGGCCAGGGGGCACTCGGACATCCTGGCAAACCTTGTTCTTTTGTTTGGGTGATGGAGTGACCCTGGTGAAGGCAGAAACATAAGGAACCTGTTTTTGTTGGACTGAAACAAGTTACATTGTACATTTTGGGGGGTTGGATATGCTACAATTTCTCAGGAAGTTTCAAGCCACTGGGTTTGAACCGCATTCCTGTCTTGGGACCAGGCCCACTCTGGTGTAGCACTGAGGCATCTGGAAGGAATATGCATATCTGTTAGGGGAAGTTGAGGCAGGCACAGTACAAAGATGTGAAAACCCGTGGAGGTCAGTAACCATGGGAGAAGGCTTCCTTTAGGGCCCTTACTCCTGGGGACACGGAAGCCCATGCGTCCACCCTGCACACCAAGTGCACACACCCAGAGCCCCGGCGCGAGGCCGAGTCCACGGCACAGCCCCTCGGCTTCCGTGCTTCGCTGAGCCCAGGCCGACTGGAGTGGGCCCCGGCTTCCCTGGGGTCTGGTGGGGGAAACGGCCGAATGGGGCCCACGGTGAGTGGGCAGCAGAAGAAAGGGCTTTGCTTTAAAACTCGGTGTGGGGAGTCGGCTTCTCACAGAAGGCCGGGGGCAGTGCCGAGAAGAGGGAAGGACCTGCATCCGTCTCACGGGGAGGAGGTGGCCGACCCCTCCCCTCCCTCAGGTGTGCAGCACAGCTCTCACACAGAAAACGGCCGGGCTACTGCCCGCTGGGGTGGGCCACCGTGCCCCACGCCTCCCGCCCATACTTGTCACCCGTCTGTTCTAGACAGAGGAAGCAGTGAATCCACTTTTCCAAGCTCATGGCGACGGGAGCCAGCCCTGCTGCTCAGGGGGTGTGGGGCTGGGGCTCTGCCCCGGGCTGCCCTCCGTCCACACCCAAGGAGGGACATGTGACCACGAGGACGACGTCCACCGTTACCACTGACGTGCCGGGATCCCTTCTGTTTCCACGTGGAGCTGGAGGGGCTGCGTGCTGGCCTCCTTCTGCCATGCCACACAGCAGAGTGTTATACAAGCAAAGAATTTTGGCTAAAATCCAAAAAACATTACCCAGAAAAAAAGGCAAACTGTGAGTGATACCGAATCACGTGGTTCTTCTGTGAGAGGACTTGGGAGCCGCTGGGCTGTCCGAGTTGCGGTCTTTCCCTTCTTGTGGTTTTGCTTTTAATGTCCCCTTTTCCTACCCTTTCTCTATTTTTGCTACCGCGACAGTCTCATCAGATGAAAAAGTTAATAAACAGAATGGCGACTCCGATGTTGAGCAGGATCACCATGGCCACCAGGATAGGAGCCGAGCCCTGGAAGAGAGCGAGGAGAAAGGTGAGT